AATTAAAAATAAGAAAATATAACGCAGAAAATATTCAATGAAAAAAAATAAAACAGACTGAAAGTAGAATAGGTGAATTTTAAAAAAAGCAAACTATGCAAACGGAAAATGAAGCGAACAGTTTGTAACAATATATGAAAGTTGAAAACGAATTAGGTCAATCGCATAACAGGACACAAAAAAAAGTATTTCAAGTTTCATGTTTATTATATACTTTTCATTCTAGGTGAGAAAGAGCCAAATTCATATATGAGAGAACGAAAAAAATTCAAATAACAGAACAATAAACAGATTTAATTTCAGACTTGAGATTGTTGTCTTAATAATCTCTTCTTTTTCTCCTCATTTTTACAATCAATTATTATAATCAAGATTATACGAGAAAACTGAATAAAACACGTAGACTATTTTACACAGGTATGAAAAATTTCATGAATGTAGGCCTGAAGAAAAATAAATTAGAACAAGATTTAATATGATGAGATGAGATGAATTGTACATATCGCACGTGTTGTCACTATGATTGAAAATTTGATCACCAATGATGAAAACATGAAACAAGTTACTTCTTCACTTTAACTATATTCTTTATTAATTGGTTGGTTGCCACACTACACAATAGTTTAAGGATGAATCATGTGACTAAAGTAAAGAAGTATCTGAAGCACTAACTGATTGTTTAATAATGGTTATCATGATCTACATATGTTTTTTTTTTCGTAAATGTGCATTATGTGGATGTACACAATCATAGCGAGTGATAGAGCATGTCCTATAATATCTGAGGATAAATTGTTAACGATATTTTCTTGACGCAGAACGCTGAAATGTTTATCATATATATATCTAACGAAAATCTTTAATTTTTCAATATTTCATCTCTCTAGCTAAAACTAATGCTGAAAAATGCATAAACAAGATTAAAATACATAAATTTTCATACTAGATTTTTGTAGTCTTTTTACTACATAGTCAATCGCAACAGAACAGTTATAGATTGTTTTAACTATATTGAAATGCTTTTATATCTAAAATCTTTTAGATTTTATGACAGATTTTATCTTCAATATTCACCAGATACGAAAACAGAAAGATCATAAATGGTTCGTATTAAATTTAAATCATCTCAAAACAGCATTGAATATTTATCGGAAAGTTTGTAGTACAATTATTTAATGAACATATAGAATTAGTAGCTAACGATGCTAAATTTGCTGATACATGAAGAACTGAAAATGAATGCAGGTATATCGAACGAAAAAATTCGCGGAAAAGTGTTTCATACATCATTACAATTAGAAAAAGAAAATATACAAGAATGGAGGAAATTTTTCAAAGAAGAAGGTGCAAAAGTGATAAACGAAATATTTGATCAGAGATCGAAATAAATAACACAAATCACGATTCGGATTCGATTCGACTCCTTCAAAAAAAAACATCAGTATTCAGTTTGAGTCTTGGTACCTGATCAATTACAATTAGTCAAAGTAAGCAATACAAAGCATGTTCATATACATTAAGCTTTATTATAATTTTTTTCAATCAGATGTTTAAAGATGAAAATATATGACTTTTACCGAGATGCCATTTATGGATAATTCTGAATAAGACTATGTACAAATGATCATTTTGTTTATTTTATTTCTCATAAACATTATCCTACATTTCCATAATATGTGTTTAATGTATTAAACTTTGTATTAAATTGCATCGAACTCGAAAGATTTGATTATAATGTTCTCTTTTTTAGATGTTTTGCCATTGATGACTCTAGCAAATATTTTATGAAGTGTTTCATTTTATGATCGATATAAAAATATTTTAATTGAAAATATTCAAATTATAAATAGACTAATAGTATTTTGAATGAAGTGACATAATTGAAACGAGAAAAATTTATATCTCTTCATCATATACAGATGTAGACCTTAATTCTTCAACTAAAAGAAAATCTTTTTGTTCATTAATGATTAGTTATTCTCATATTGATATTGATTTTTGTCGACAATTATATGATGTATTTAGTATACTTCCAGAATTATCAATATCTGTTGATTTCATTAATTCAAAATATTTATGGCAAGAAATAGCACACACTATTGAACAATCAGATCTTGTTCTTTTTCTTATATCAAACAATTTTTTTTCAATAATAAATCATATCCTCAAGAATTAATCTATATATATTGACGAAGCCTGTAGGCATACGAATCTCGAGCATCTCATTGTTAAATGATGGTCAATGAATACGTATGGTTATTTTGTAATCGGCACATGACTTATCCTGTCTAGATGTTTTGCTTTTCAAAACGTGATTAGGACAAGAATAGTTTTATAATTGTTTATGACTTTGCATATTCTCTTGTTCTTTCTTAAGGAAACAAAACTTTTGAAGTATTGGTTAGTTCATATAATTCGATATATTTTTGTGAACGTATCATTCAAATCAGTCACCGCGTATTCTTCATTAGGCAATTTATAGTTCGTGGCATTTTCAATATGTTCAGATTCGCACGAAAGATCATGTAAGTGAAAATTATAATAAGATAGAAAAGTTAAAAATTTCACTCATTCATCACATTCTAATGAAAAACAAGGGTAAACAAAGTAGTTGTCACAAGACAAATGTAAGAATATTTTCTATCATTTAACTAAGACGTGCGTGTGAGTAAGCTCCTTTTTTTCATCCACATTCTTATTTTCATGCGAGGGCTGCCATACGTATTACATTTTGTCATTTCACACCCGAGAGAAAATCGTATTTCCTGAAGTACACGTCTTATACCAGATTTTAGTTTTTGAACTCCTATTGCTATAAACTGGTCTTTAAAAAACAATGAACACTTATTTTTTGAATTGAAACATTAACATGAACAAATCATTCTAGCATGATAATTGAACTGTATATTATTGTGAGAAAACATTCTTGTTTTGTTTGATTTTTAAGCAAAGATCATATCATATTTGAAATAGACAGGAATATCGAAGTCAAATAATGGTACATTTCATAAAAATAAATAACTTAGCTCAATGATTGTCGTCAGTTCTTTTCTAGCTTATATCTTTCCATTGTTGTTCACGATTAAGATTCGATCGAAAATTTGTTTCATATGGAAAAATCGATTATTTGCATCCGAATTTTGTACTGACTTCGAATAAGATATGAACTTCAAGTCCACATAATTCTGTTTTTGAAAACATCAAGTATAGAGAAAATGTTTATTTGGATTTTTGATTGATGTTGATCATGCTTGTAGCTGAAGATTTTGTTTGTGTTGACGTCGATGTAGCGTAGCAGATCAACTATCCACCAATCTGTAACTGTAGCATCAAATTCTTTTGTCTGATATCCGTTCCACGCGCACAATCCTAGTATTTCGGTTACGGTCAGTAACACATAGAAACCGCTTTTTCGAAACTTTTCCACTCCTATAGAAATACAAAAAGAGAAAAAAAACAAGAACTATAAGGCGAGTATTTATTTGTGGTATTTTGTACACAAAAAAGCACATTTACAAGCACATCAAATATTTTTCAGTTCTGTATCCGTTCCTAATCCATAACTTCCTGTGAACACACCCGCTAATTCAGCCATAAGAACGTTGTCTTCTGCGTATGAAAGAATTTGTCCTTGAAACGAATTCATTTTTAAATATTGTTCTATCAAATCTCTATTCATTGGTTGGTTTTCTATAATTTGTCCATCATCTGACCTGAGTCGATGGCATCGTCCAGAAACTTTTATCTTTGCTTTAAATGGAATCGATATATTTTCAATCCATTGAACAAATGATTTCACTTCTATACATTCATTGGGTGGTACAGTAATAGTTTTTGAAATCGAATATGTCTCTTGTCTTGTTTGTGTCCATTGTTGTTGTGATTCACCTCCTAATTCTGATTTCATATCAATCGTACTTCCACTATTAGTTGAAATAAAAGGAATTTCAGCCTTGAATGAAAGTCCCGATAAATATTTTAATGATTCCTTGAATGAATAAGTAAATGAATTAGTACGTGTAATACTATGTGTTATGCTTTCAGTATGTGTTGAATTCAAAGTTTGATTTCGAATAATGTGAGATGAAATTAAAATATTTTCAGTCGATTTCGCTAATAACTGTGGTAATGGTTGATCAAACTCCATCTTCAATATTTCACCGTTAAAGGTGACGGATGGCATTGAAAACGAAATGAAATCACCGGTAGCTTTCGAACATCGAATATAGGGTGATAATAGCCGAGAACCAATTATAGGTCCCAATGAAAGCCGATGTTGAGTATATTGATTGCATAGTACAAATTTCTCTTTTGATGTAGTAACCGAGGTCAATGTCCAAAGGCGTTTTGGATTCGTATATCCCAAGGGATCATCAGATTGAAGTGACATCAATGCACCATTCAATAAGCAACACATTCCATCACATGTAATAACTTTGCCTAAAAAATAAGATAATTCAATAAGAGAAGCTCTTCGTTTTGTTCTTGTAAGAACATATTTTCTGTAACCATTTCCAGATCGGAAAATGAAGACAAAATAAATCGATAAAAATGTTTTTTTTTTTTTTGAAAATCTATTTTCAAAGGAATAAACGATTTATGCAAGGAACTACTCAGAACTCATCACACACCGAAATGGACTGCTTTGCAGACGGTTTTACAATTTGAATCTTGTTTTGAACATTTCTAAGTTTCCTTTTCATAGTTAACGATTTGAAACTTCATCAATGGCATGCCAGCTGTCTTTCATACTATTCTTAATTAAAAAATAAGTTGTTACTTGCTGATCTTTCGTGAGGAAAAAGATCCTTCGAGTTTTCGGTGTTTTTTTTGAACGAGCACTTTTAAAATATGTGAAGACTCATGGCTACCTTGATGAGTCAGAAAGCTTAGGTCTGATCATATTGACAAGTAGAGCTTCCTGAGTTATGGTAACGAACATCTCTTTTGGATTATTTGTTAAAGAGAACTCTAATCCTTTGACTAATGATGTATCTACGAATGCCCACGATCGTACGCAACCATTTCATGAATATACCGACTATACACTGAGGAAAATCTACGCGTACCTATTAGTTGAAGTTAATTCGAACTCACAATTTTAAGTAAGCTACGAGTTGTTGCAAGAAAATAATTTTTAAAAAGCAGCTGTTTTTTATGTAATCCTGTAGGAATATCGCTTTCACAAATCATCGACTAGAAAACATTAACTTTTTGAAGTTATTTCCTTTCAAGAAATGTTAGCTTGTCTAGCGTTCTAAGTCCGAATTAAATACAAATAACAGTTGTTCCTAAGTTTTTATTAGTGTTTGGTCGGTATATTTGTAAAGTGTTTGCGTACGATCATATAGATATTCATAGATAGCTGATTAATCAAAGTACGTATTACAATTCTCTTTAAAAAGTAATCCAAAAAGGTATTTGCTAGTACAGTATTCGAGGCTCTACGTGTTGGTATGATCAAATCGAAGTTTCACATCCTAAAGAGATGTTATTTGATATTCGACTATTTTACAAGCGTCATTTTGAAACAAAACTGGTATCGTGATGAAGTTTTGGAAACACTGAATAACATGATTTCTTATTTTTCTAATTTTTCTACTTTTAAAATAGAAAACAGATCAGTGTGGCAAACGAATCCAATTGGCTCGTTGCCGATAATTTGCAATTGAAAAAAGAAAACACTTGATGTGATCACAATTTAAGTATCGACTAACAGAATAAATATATCTGGTTGGTTTTTTTTAATTTTTAGTATTAGAAACGACTTTTATTTCCGAAACTTATCCATGACGTAACATTTTTGTCGGGATTCTGATATAGATCCTGTCAAAACTAAGCGCTCTATACGACGCATGTAAGGAAAGTTTTCTAACTCTAGAATCTCAATCCATAGATCAGTCTAAAAGTACAAAAAAATAACGCAGAGAAACTGCAAGATTTTCTTAGCACATTTTGTGTCAATGCAGAGATTCAATGACAAAAGTATCAAAAAAGAATCATTTTAGTTTCTCTTTGTTTTCTGTACAATGCACATCAATCCCAATTTGACTTTCACAAACTCTGACAGGACTAACAATAGTATTGCATCCCACAATATTCTCTTGTAAACTATCTGAAAAACAAGAATTCGCAATTTTTAAACTAAACCATTGTGTGATCAAAACTGACTATATTTCCTTCTTTTTACCTGTTTGAGCGTTTTTAATTCGATATCCAACGTGCGTCACATCCGTACTGTTGTCAGTAGTAACTGTCACCGGAATTAAACACCATAATTGACTGTGATCATCACGTGTTGCTGTTGATGTAAGTAGATTAAAATTTCTGTCAATGACATATTTTACATGAGTATTAGATTCTCTTGGTTCAATATTCATTTGATAAAGAATTCCAGTTGTCACCTGTAATACTTCATTTGTTGTGCAGTCAAAAATCGGTGTTATAGGAACTAAATTTTCTTCCATATCACTCAATTCGAAAGAATTTCTCTTAATGATAGACGACATTTAACTATTTTTGAAGGGTAATGTAGAAATGAATGATTAGTAAAACAAAAATGACTCTTTATAGAGTGCAAGAGAAAAATTTGTGACACATCATTATCGTATGACTCATAACAAATAAACTATACGCTAGTGAGTCAAATAAAATAACACCATATCTTTTATGTAAAGTTTAACCAATAGAAAAACAAGAATAAAACAGTCGAGTAGCTAGCGCAAGCAGAAAGACCTTCCTATATATCATTATTGAAAATTAAGATTGATGTAATAAGACTACTTTTTTCACATCTACCAAGCTAAATGATCGTACAGATAAAATATAAAATTACGTATCATCTGACGAATGCATTTGTCTAAATGAGTATCGAAAGTTACAACGAGAAACTTGGACCTCCATAGATCGTGACAGACACGTCAACACGTCATAATGGTTTTTCATACCATGTATCTTGGGATTTGTGAA